ATAGCTTTCACGCATGTATTTTGCTATTCCAGTATGTCAATCTTTTACCAAAGTATCTACCTTCAGTCCATTATTTTCAATGAATGCTAGAGCCCTTATGAGTCCTTTTTCCATGTTGACACTACTAGTCACCTCATTGCTCTGAAATATAGCCTTGGTTAATATTCATATCATAAATTCATTACCTGCACTAGTGATAAATAACATTTAGGTCCAAGTCCATAGTTGTGTAGCTGCCATATTTGGCAGAAAACCCTGGGCTGTCAGCCCGACTGTCACCACCAAGCACAATCAGCCTATTATTCTGCTTGGCCTCATCAATGTACTCTGATTGTCTTGTTGTCCATAATGTCATAGCAGCTGGTTGCAAAAAGCGATTTTGATGTTTGAAAAAAGTTTGGGTAGAATAGCTTTACAGTTCATATACTCCAAAAGCTGTAACACCTATAACGTTAAGCTTCCAGTAAACAATATTGCAAACAAAAGCATCAAGTTTCCAATTGGTAGGTTATTCACTATTGGTTGATTAGTCCAAGTATATGTATAGCCACATTGGTCACAGTGCTGCTCAATCTTTAAATAGGTACCAAGTATTTTCTTTTTGACCGATTCAGTCATGTGGAAACACTTACGACATATAGTGAATAGAAGTAAGAGATAGCTTTGAAATATAATTTATTTCGTTTCACTATGGTCCCTATTATGTTAAATTTGCAAAATAATGTAAAATTTGTAATACTTGTAGTAAGTATACTTTTTTGAACTGAGATGATCATGTAATGGTGTCTCCAACTGTAACATATCTTCAGCCACTTCACTAAGAATACAAAATATACATTGTACATTATTTTTAATAGTTATTACATGTAGTACCTATCACTGTCCATGTTTGATGTGTTATCAATATTGACATATTCTCAATCATTTGAAATCCTATAAATATTTATGTTTAGTGTTGTTAGAATTTTTAACATACACCTCTTTAGAATCATTTTTATTGTCAGAAACTGATGACTCATCAGTGTCACTAAAATACTCAGGATACAGCAAATTGCACTGTATGCTTATGTCTCTGACGGGTATAATTGTCTCAGTTGCACAGAGATAAGAGGTACAGTTGATTCAGATCCTAATGAGATGCAATACAAAAATTTTACTGGTAAATATACCCTTTGCTTTCTTCAACCTTCTCTTCAATTTTCTTTTTGTTCTAATTGGTGAATAGTCATCATCATTACGGTACTCATCTTGTGGTTCCTCATCAATTGAATGTTCATCACTAGACTTAGACTGTTCATGACCTGGAGAAGCATCATACATTTGCAAGCAGTTGATATTTTTACTTGTAGTTGTAATGCAATAGTTTTGCATCACAAATGCATTGTCATCTTCATTATTGGTGTGTTGATCATTCACAGCACTCTTTTGCTCAGGACAGTGATTTAGTAGCTGCTTTATTGTTTTATGTGTTGAAAGATCATAACTTGCATTAATATGTTTATACATACCTTTTTACTTTGCCTTTTCTTGTATCATTTACATCTTTTTGCTGCAGACTCTTCCTTTTGAGTGACATCCCACTGTGCTCTCTTGAAAATACTTGGTACTGCTCCTGGCTTCAATCTTTGTACTTCTTTTAAGTTAAAACTAGCACCTAATTTAGAATCTGGTTCAAAACAATTAGGAGAAAAATGATTGCTGCAAAAAAAGAGTATGCAGTTGGTCCTGACCACTTGTCTCTAGCTCGTTGTGTCCACGATTTGCGAAGTTTATCATCTTTAGGAAAACTAAAGAGACTAATACCATTTCTATTGGTACTACAACATCTATAAGCAACACATCTTTTACGCATAGTGAAGAAATAGACTGTTACTCTGCACCATGTATTGTCTGTCAGCCATTCATTTGGATTGAGCAGTACTTTCTCATCATCTCTTAGCAAGCCCACTTTAAAGGCTCCTCCCTTGTCTTACATGATGGAAGTGCTTCTACATTGATCAATTCTGAGGATTCTTTTCCTTTCTTAGCCGTCTTTTTTGACTCTCGCTGTCTTTCTCTTAGTCTGAAAGCAAGACGTTTCACATCAGTTGGTTCGGGTATCTCCTATAAAAATGGTGTGCATACAGTTTCTATTTAGAAATAACAATAATATCACAAATTCCCTGCATGACATCTATTCACCGGTAAATACATGTACATTGTAATTTACCTTATTTTTCCTATCTGTCTTATTCTTGACTACATTACTCTTACTAGGCTCATCACATTTAACTTGGAAATCCCGAATAAGTACATTGTTCATCGATGCCGTGACCTATGTAGAAATCAAAAAGATTCAAACACTGGG